TCGAGTTTGATGGGGTGCCATGCCCTGGCCCCAAAGTCTATTTTTGGTATTTCCTGGGGACTTCATTGCTTTGCTCCTCTTGCTGCTTTGTTACACACCCTTAGCCTTTCACCCCGTGTGATGGGGTCAGATCGAGCACAATCCCCGCACTGTGTGACCAGTGTTGTTCCCCGTAGTGCCATGGGTCAGTGAGGGACATCGTGTCTCATGACGGGACCAGCCCTATGGTCCTCTCTATGCATTGGCTGTTCTGAGCAGGAATATCGTCCCTGGGTAAGGATGGGCCAGGATGTGCTCCACTCTCTCTCCTTCCCTGTTCGTTTACTCCTATGTGCTCTGATCAGATGCACACCTCTCCCTGAACTGTAACTTCAGTGCTATCCGCTGAAGTGCATTCTTCTGCGGGGTAGGAGGTGTCCATGTAGTTGGGATTGGGGCCAGGCCTGCGATGGAGCCTCTTAAAAGAATTTCCTAATATTATTTTTAAAGTGATCTTTTTTACCTTTCATGGTTTGAGGTTTGAAGGCATTTAGCTATACATGCAGCACAGTGGCAACCACCGTTACTTTGTATTAATGAGGTATGAACCGTTATGAGCAAGATCTTAAGTTCTGACTTCCACTGATACACAGGTCAAAATTTGGTTGCAAAAAAAATGTTTTTAATGTGAGGATCTGTTGTTTTTAAATAATGTTCAATTCAATAATAGCACCATGTGATTAAAAACAAAAGCAAACCTGGTCAAGTCCTTAGAATATACTGTAACATATTTGACTACCATAATCTATACAGCTTTTTCAAAGGAGGAACCACAAGTTGATTGTTGGCTATAAGTCAAATGCCATCAGGGAACCTCTTAAGCTTTCTAAATTAAAGGGGTTTTGAGAGGAGCCCCTTGTATTCCCTAATGACTAATGGGTTGGCATCACCAGAAAACCCCACTACACCCTGGTGGCCAAAAGCAGGGGAAAAAATCATTCCCTGTTAGACTCTCCAGATAGTTTGAGCTCTCTGTTACTCCGCTCGTCCTCCTCTCTCCCCTTATAGAACAGGCTTATCCAACATCCACAAGAAAACAAAACCAGGAAAGTATGAGCCATATATGTCAGTCAGCATTTCCTACTTGCACTACTAAAGGTTTAAAAACCCACAGGCAAGTTCCATTCCAATAATATATTCCAACAAACCCAAAATATTCTCTTCTCTATGTGATCAACATAAAAATTAAAATATTCCAGCCTTGTAATGCTAATTAGGGAAACTCCAGATTGTATTATATACCTACACACATCTCAGTTCAGACTGGGCCACTTCAAGGACTTACTGGTCACAAGGACTGAGGTTGTGGTTGGGTGTCCTATTCACAGCAACCCTATGTACAAGAGCAGGAAACACTGTCCGGTGGGTGCGGTGCCAGCCTCACCGTCACAGTCCTGGAGCCCACTGTTGCCACCACTGCACCAAGCTTCCTCTTCTCCACGGACCCTCTGCCACATATGATGTCCCTTTCCAATGACTGGTGTTTCTTGATAATAAGTCCCAAGTACACGGGACAAGATCTCAGTGTCTCCCCTTCGAAGGAACATTCGAACTGTATTTTTTCCAAGAGAGATGTGTTGTACTTTCAATAGTCTTTGCCAGTAGCATAGTTCAAAGGCACCACTTTTTCTTGGTCTTCCTTATTCATTAGCTACCAGCAGATCTGCTCAATGCAATACTCAGAGACAGTCAATGATTCTGGCCCTACTTGCCGTAATCCCTTCCACCCTCTGCCGGTGGCTACAATCCCAGTTTGGAGGGCGTTCTCTGCTGTGTGAATAGACAGGAGGAAGGCAGGAGTAGGTCTCCACTTGCGTATACATCTATCCAGTCCAGTCTGACTCCCAGGGACCCAAGTTGGTAAGCTTTTCACTTTGTCAAAAGGGTAGTGTGGTATTCACTAAGGACGCAAATGGGTGTCCCTTTGAATGTTCTTTGAGTTCAAAAAACACAAAGAAGTCTGAAAAGTATAAAAAGTATAAAACCATCACAGACAAGATAGGGATGTCGAGTGGCTGGGTGAAGGTTGCTCAACTAGATTTTCAGAGGACAGCACTTGCAACCACGAATATGAGTAGGAGCGTGGCTATGATAAGAAGAATTCCTCAGAGCGACTCTCCTGACTTTGTTCTTACGAAGGCCATCTTGCATTTTCTAAAAACATCTTCATAATAAGCCCCATGATCATCCTGTGCCTTTCAAGAGACATTCTCAAGGGATCCCTTTGGGATCTCAAACACACAGTTACCATATTCTCCTGAGCTGCCCACTCTGCCAGCAGACCCCTCAGCTGAACAAAAAGACAATCAAAACAGATGCTGTTAGAATCAGCCTCTTCCTTGTTTTTGTTTCTGTACCCTACAGAAACCAAGACAAGTACATCACTGAGACAACTTGTCTGCAGCCACCAACTGATATCAGACATTGTAAAACGTTTTGTTTGGAAGAAAACGGTGCATAGAGGAATTAGAATCCTACTAGCAATATGTTTTCTTACTCTTGTATATTTGGGCATGATAAACTGGGTTCTGTGAAATAAAACAAAAGAAAAAGAAAACATATTCACAAACATATTGCTATGGATTGTGACAATGAACAAACAATGGTTCTTCAGATGCAAGGACAAGCAGAAAATCCGGGCAAGACAACTGCTATAAAGAATAAAAAAGTAAACCTTAAGTTTTAGCCACTAAGAAAATGTAAGCTCTGCCCTAATTTTAATATACCATGTCAAAGTAGTACAGATAGTTTTTATACCTCTTGCTTATATTGCTAGAATGAATCTTTTTTTTTCTCATTTTATTGGATCTCGTACAGCTCTTCTAACAATCCATCCATCCATCCATCCATCCATCCATCCATCCATCCATCGAGTGGAGTATATTTGTACACGTTGTCATCACCCTTTTCAAAACATTACTTACTTTCTTGAGCTGGAAAGGATACTTTTTAAAAATCCAATCATTTAAAAATTAACTGTGCTCCAGGAGGAACTCTGCACAGATGACCAGTTCTGTATCGTGATCCCAGGTGTCGTCAAAGGGATCCACACACATGAAACAGTACACAACTCTCCTCACTTACTGTGCCAGAGTCCATTGCCTCATTTCTAGATCGTGCTTTAGTTACATGAAGCACAGCCAGGATGGGAAACTGGGGGAAGAGTATACCAGACCACTTGTGAATTTCTAATTATTTTAAAATGAGAAGCTTTGAAAAGCTAACAATAAATACACCTTAGAAATACTCTGTGAGGGGCCAGCTCCAATCCCAACTATTATGTGGACACCTGCTCCTCCCCCCAGAAGAATTTATTTCAAAGGATGGCATTGAATCTGCAGCTCCGGGAGAGGGACATATCTGATCAGAGCACATAGGAACAGATAAAGGGGGAGGAGGAGAGAGTGGAGCACATCCTGGCCCACCAGGCCTTGAGGACGATGTTCCTGATTAGAGCAGCCAGTCCAAGAGAGGATCACGTGGCCGGGCCCACTATGAGACATGACGTGCCTCACTGGCCCATAACCCTACAGGGGACAACACCGGAGACACAGTGTGAGAATTGTGCCCCATCTAATCCTGCCACACTGAGGCAAAACACTAAGGGGGTACAACAGAACAGCAAGGGAACAGAGCGGTGAGGTCCCCAGGGAATGCAGAAGGAGGACTTTGGGGCCAAGGCATGGTGCCCCAACAGAGTGGACTGGAAAACACTCCTAAAGGCCAACAAACAGTACTTGAACTAACTACAAGCTTTTTGTTGTGTTTTGTTTTGTTTTTTTGTCATTGGTTTGTTGTATGTTGTTGCTTGACTTTGCTCTGTTGTGTTTTTGTGCATGTTATTATCTCTGCAGGTCTGTCTAAATAAGATAGGCTGGATGAACAATCTGGAGGAGAAAATAACGGGACCAACAGATCCATG